TAAATTCTAATTGACATTTTTGTGAAACAAATGATGTTTGTATTTTTAATATTTATTGAGTCAACACATCTTACAGCTCGACCTGATGCTTGGGCCCAGTCAAGCTTCAGGCAGCTTGTGCAGGTAACTAGCCTCTGGTTCCTATATTAGTTGCATATTATTTAATTTGGCCATTATCATATATTAGATTTATAAAATTTTCTAGAATTATGTTTTAGAAATGTTTTTATATTTAAAACATTATATTTATTTTCATTATAGTTTCAAAAGTTTGAATTTAATTTTTTTGATATTTTGGACAGATATTGTAAATAAAAAAATCAAGAAATAAAATATTAACTAAGCAATCAAAGTATGTATAAACATCATAGTAGTTTTATTAATGATAATATATTAACTACTATAAACATAATTCAATTCCGTTTTTTTAAATTTAATAATTGTGTGGTAAAATATATTCCTAATTCTAAGTTATAGATAATGTTGCTTCCATTTTGTATAAATTTCAGATTTTGAGATCTGGGGTTTTGTCCAATAATGCTCTTTGAAAGGATATACATCATAATATGGATCATATAATAAAATTTTATCTTCTTCATTGATGTTATGTATATTGTTTTGTAAACATAAACTATCTTCCATATTATTTACTATTAGGTTATCAATATCATGAAATTTTTCTTGGTCTGTATAATCAATTTTATTATTAACAGCATTATCCTTTTTTATATTTTCTATTGATTTCTTGTTTTTAATATGTGTGTTTGATAAAAATTCACAATAGTTTTGCAAAATATTTAAGGTATATTGAATGTTTAAATTATTTTTTTCTAAATTTATATCTTTGGTCAACAATTTTTCATTAAAATGTATGTCAAGTTTTCTAATGTTATAAATAAAGGCATAAAAATTAATTGCAGTATTTATAATAAAATCATTTTAAATTATTTGTGTCAATATTAGGTTTGATTCAAAAAGAAAATGCAATTTACTTTGAAGCTATTGATAATGCCAAGGTATAATAAATGGCAGGTACAGAATTTTTCTGATTTTTTTCATCTAAAAGATATCTGATAATTTGTTAAAAATCAAATCATAGTAAATTATTGAATTATACTTATTTATAATATTTTGGGCTAATATACAGGCATCTGTGCATTCATATTTAACAGAAAGTTTTTGCAGTAAATTTTGATCCCACTTTTCAAATGTAGCAGTGTGCTTCAATATATCAGTCTTATTAATTATTGCTGTAAATGTATTGAGTGATTTATTAAAATTGTTTTTTGATAATCCTGATGTTTTTATTGCTAAATTCTAAATATTATGTCATATATTCTCTTTCAACCAATAATATTTACTTTATCCAATGAGGATGATTTAATTGAAGATGCTATATATAGACTGATTATAAAGTTAATAGGTGATTTTGGGGTTAGGCTTTGTGAATCATATACTCTAAGAATCTCTTCTGCTTTTCTAATTATGTAAGGTAATTTAATAGACATTATATATTGATGATAATGATAATCAAGTTTACAAAATATCAAATATACTTGATAATATCTGATGATACGTTAAACTTTTCTCCATAATATTGAAGCATTTCATATTCTTTGGAAATTTGAATATTCATTTTCCCACCGATTTTTAAAAATAGATATGTTAATGTAATATGTTACCTATCATATAATCTGTCAGCTGACAATTTTAGGTCAGATGGCAGATTATATCTAAAAATATTAAAAATCACATTAGCTTATGTTAACAATATGATGTCAACAAACTCATAGATGTTAGTAAAGTTGTCTTAATGACGTGTAATAAATAATTATTCTAAAAAAATAAAAACTGGAAGAAATTAGTGATACATCCACAATTTTTTAATTAATATTCATTATTATATCTTAAAATATATATTGATAAAGATATAATATTATGTGCTTTTTATCGATGTTTCCTCTTTATAATCAAAACAATTTTAAAGATATCAAATAATTAAAATTAATTCCTTTATAAAAATAAAATTTTTAAAAATTAATATTTTGATAATTAAAAAAACTAAACTTAACATATTCTTATGCATAATTTGAAATTATAATTTTGTATTAGCTTCATTTTGAATTATTTAAAACGAATAGAATATTCAATTCGTTTTCAAATGAAAATTCAAACGCCTGCTAAAGTATTTTTAAAAAATATTACTGTATTATTATTATTGATTTATATTTTATAATAATCATTCCTATCTCTTATCGCATATATATTCCAATTTAAGTATTTACATTCAAAGCAGAAAATTATTTGTTATTAATTTTTTCTATGAATTGATATCGATTTCGAATTTTTGACATTATATATTACCATTATATTTCTCAGCAAACGATATGAATCCTTTTAATTGTAAACCTAATGTAAAATATTTACATTGATTTGATTGAGACTGAGAATAGCTAAAAACATTATATTGAAACTTAAGGAAGTAAGGGCAAATGCTGATGATGAATTTCTTAAATTATATGCCATTGTTGAATAAAAAGAAAAGCTATATAAATTTATTTATCTACCTAAGCTCATCGTTCCATTCTTAAGATGTGGTCAATTTAAAAATACTATAAAATAAATTTATTAGCTCCCTTCATTTATAACTAAAATGAATAGAAGGTTCTTGATTAATCAAGCAGTACATACAAATCTACAAATATGCCATGCAGAATTTTTCCGAAACTATTTTAAATCTTGATACAAAAAAATTTAACTATTTGGCAGATTTTATTTTTGTGAAGATGTTAAACTTAAAGTATCTCACGATGCATTATTAGCTGAATGAAAACTGTAGTATAAAAGGTTAAATAAGGTTGTTAATGTTCCGAAAATTTTATAGATGCTTCGCATAAGTTCAAATACATTTAGATCATTTTCCTAAAATATTCTTCTCCTTATAAGTCATGATAATTCCAAAATTAGTTGGGGTCTATAAAACGCGTCCTATCCTCTCATATGGTATGGCTCGGCTTTTGACCACATAAACAACAAATCCTTACAGATTTGAGAAACACAAGTCAGTTGGTTCGTAACTACAAGATCGAGAACTAGTTGCGCCAGTCCTTAACATGAATATATTAAAATTATTATATATTTTAGCAACTTTACTTATTATTAATTGTACTAATGGATATGGAAGAACATTTCTTAAGAATAAAAATCGAGACTTCGCTAATAGATGTCCAAACCTTTATGTAATTGTGCATAATCTTCATGCTGTATCAATTTTCTGGACATAATATTGACTTAATTTAAAAAATAGGTTCAATTGAGCCATTTAATCACACTAGTGAGAAGTAATACCACTTAAATAAAGCGAATGGGTTAGCTCTTTTAATACATAGTTTACATTTTTCCGCATTATTTGTCAACATTTCTTTTTCAAATTTATTTGTAATAAATATTTTAATTCTTAAAAAATTTATATTTTTTACATAGTTTTTTTCGATACATATATTTTAAAGTGATCCATATGCCGATTATATACATCTAATATATTATCATTAATTTATATTGAATTTATGTATTATAAATTGCCAATAGTTTATGATCACTGTCATAATAAATTTCTGATACTTAAGATTTTCTTAAACTCCTAGAATAATTTTTTAATTATTCCTTTCCCCTCGGGAATTCCTGCGTAGGCAACTAATTGTAATTTATATTCTTAAAAGCTTACTTATTTATTGTACACTAGTAAAATGTATTCACACATGTAAATGTGAATTTAATTTTTAAATATTCGTATCTTATATAAAGCCCTGCATGAGTAGTGTTGTTAAAAAGCCCGATGCGGGTTGATTTTCAAAACCGGCCCTATTAAGATTAATTATAACCATAATAACATTATGTAATCCTAAAGATTTTACTCATAACTGGCAGATATGCTTGGACATCTTTTTTCCAAATCTTGATGCTTACATAATATTATTTTAGCTGAAATCTTCATCGGAAAGTTTTGAAATAGACCCAAATCGGGCTTTTTAACAACACTAGGCACGAGCTATAGGCCTGATACTTCTGGGTAGGGATCAGACATTTAAGACTTTTTCTTAGACTCGGGTCAATCCGAGATCCCCACAAACCACCACCCCCCCCCCCCTCCGGAAAATTTAGAAATATTCTCATCAATCATTTTATTTCTGCGAAATGTCAATCAGAACCACATGATATTTTTAATCCTTACATGTTATGCATTTATTTGCATTATTTCCAATTCACAATATTATATAAGCCTAAAAATTTTGCTAATAGATGTCCAACTCCAAACCTTTGTGCTATAAAGAACCAAAATATACAGGCTTGCGTAATTTTCTTTTGGTTAAAATATTAAGTTATTCGTTTTTAAAAATCGGCTCAAATCGAACGGTTTAACAACATTAGTTGTGATTATTCATATTCATTTCTATTCGATATTTTCACATAAGTTATATATAGAAGTTCAAAATATCAAAAATATGATTCGCCAACTTTTGAAACTTTATAGAAAATTTCAATATAAAAATATGTCCAAAATATATTTTTAGAAAATTTCAAAAAATTAAACATATGATTTCTTTAAAATTTCAAAAAAAATTACTGAGATTTTGGTCTAGCCTTAAAGAAAATAAAAATTAAAAAAAAAATATGAGAAATCTTCACCAGCCTCTCTCCCATTCTGTCACTTAAAAGTTAAGCCATTTTTTTTGAGAGAAGAATTAATTTTTCGTATTAAAATTAGAGAAATTTTTTTCGCTTTCTCTCTTTTCTTATCACAATCTAAAACTACCAATGAAAATGAATACAACCAGATTGTTTTTAAATAACAATTTTAAAATCAAAAATCAACATTTTGTTTCGCATAAATATATTTTAATAAATATTCAATATTTATTAAAAAAATTTAAAAAAATGTTACATATAAATAATTATATTAAATAAATTATCAAATTCGTATAAATTAGAGGATAATAATCATAATAATCATTTTTTGGAGCCTTTGCCTTTTCGGGTGACGATTCTTCTGGCATAATATTTGGATGCTAAAAAAATAAAATTTAATCGATAAAACAGGTGGTTAATTCAAATTTACTTATTAAAATGGGCTCGAGGAAGACTCAAACGTGGATAAAAATGAATAACGGATTACATGACAAAAAATGGATCTCGCAAAGAGTGATGCCGGGCATCGCTCTTAGATCCATTGAGGATATTAGATGGGAGAACAGGTTTGATACAACTTAAAAAACAGCCAACAGGGAAGAAGATAAAATGGCGATGAGGATGGGGATTCGAACCCACGTGGAAATTATTTATAATTTTTTTTAAAGTAAAATTCAGGGTTTCGGAGGCTTAAAAAAGGTGGACCATTTCCGGTACTTAATATTTTATTTTTAAAAAAGTGGTTTTTATTCTGTTTCCTTTAAAAAAAGAGGTTCCGAGTATTGGAGCGGCTCTGAAGATCCAAAATTGTGATAAAAAAACAAAAACCCTCTAACCAATGTGAGTAAATCAAGATATTTCAGCCAATCCATGTTATTTACTATTTTAGTAATATAGATAAGTGACCTACCCCGACCCAGGCTAAAAAAAAGGAAGATTTTTAAAATCCGGGATGTTAACAGATAAATTGCAAATCATATCAATTAATTAGTTTAGAAAAATGATTATAACGAAAACGTTTAATGAGTCAATAACTGCTCATATTTTCATTTAAGCTCTTAATAGTTTTTTTTTCTAACTTCTTAATAATAAAGGTTCCTATTATTATATATAATACCTGTCTGGGCCTTAAAAAAACTCGAAAGTTCATGACAAAATTGTCAAAAATTTGACAATAACCCAAAATGTATGACTTTCAAAAGAGATTTTTGATTGGATGAAATATATTTAAGGTTAAACAAGAATGTCGGATTGAAGGTTTGAGGGCAGTGGCGTAGCTACGAGGCTGGTTTTCGGGTTTGGACCCCTCCTAGAGCAAATTTTTTTTAGATTATACGTTCAAAAGACTAAGTGACTTTGTATCAAATGCCATTAATATTAATATTTTTCAGGTTTTGATGTTTGTGGAAGGATATTATATTACTATTGAAATTATTCTGGGTAGTATTATTATAAAGTCATTGAGAATAATCTACTAAATTATAATAACATATTATTCATGCATTAAAAAAAATATTTATTATATATTGTCGAAGATGTGGTTATGATTTTTAAGATAAACCTGGCCGAATGCAGGGTAAAAGGGCCGAAGGCCCGTTAAAGGGGGTCTGGGGGCGAATCCCCCAGGATTTTATATGTATGGACCCCCTCTAAGGAAAATTCCTAGCTACGCCACTGTTTGAGAGATAAGGGTTAGGATTAAAGATATATTAAAAATGGTTTTTAACCAAAATTTAAATCGTAATTTATTAATAATTTAGACTGCATTCATAGTGGAGACGCATGCGATTTTTCGTCAAAACATCTAATTTGACGGCGTCCGACAAGGCTTTCATAGTGATTTTTTTTAACGTTTCGACTTAAAACAGATTAGACATGATTTTATTTTTTAAAATGAACCAATATTCTTTACTTAAATTATATATGATATATGATCTCGAAAGAAAAAAATATAGTTAATTCGAAAAGAAGATAGGAGGGAGCATATTTTACTTTGCTGCCAAAATTACTTAAAGATGACCTGAAGTTTTATAATTACATGCGTATGAAAAAAGTGAGTATATTTTTATATATAGTATTTTCACCTTAAAAAATAGGAAAACGTTTTATTACATATTAGATGTTATTAATGTTAAAATTACAAAAAAGAAAACGAATTTTATCAAGAATCTAATTACACCAGATGAAAAATTGATTATTAATTACCCTGAGGTAAATATTTTTAGTTTTTTTTATAACTTTATCTTATAAATATATATAAATTTATTAAAATTAGTTTATTATATATATATTAAAATAATTTTATAATTAATATTGAGATATAACCCTTATATTTATATTAATAAAAGTTGAAACACTTATTAATTATTATTTATCAGTCACACAGAGTTGGGCAGGTCCTCTTGAAAAGGAATCTAGATACAGATACACAATTTAATTAGAATAGCTTATAATATACAGTTTTTATTATTTTGTAAAGAAGATAACATACACATAAAATAATAATGAATATTTACAATAGTTAATATAACATTTAATAATAAGTTAATTATAATAATTAGGTATTTTAAATTCATTTTTATGCTTATTTCATGATATCTAGCAGCTGGTAATTCATATGTCACCATGTCATATTCTCATTAACTAAGTATCAACTATAAAGCTAATAATAGGAGAAACAACAAAAGCTTTATGGGATATTATGCAACCCATCCATATGAAGGTCCCAACATTGGAGATGTTTGAGGAAGTTGCTAAGGGCTTTGATGAAATGTGGAACTTCCCGTATAGGTTTTAATTTTATTTAAATCAGCAAAAGATAATTATATTTTTGATTTTATTATTTCATACTATATAATTAATTTAATATTTTATTAGGTGCCATTATTGGGAAACATTGTAAAACAAAAAAGCCTCCACATTCTGGAACCCAATTTTTTAATTACAAGCATGGATTCTCATTGATCCTTCAAGCATTTATTGATCACATTGGGAAATTTATGGTTATAGATGTTGGTAGCTATGGGAGCCAAAGTGATGGTGGTGTATTTTCCAACTCACTTTTATCAAAAAGAATTGAAAATGGTAAACTCCCAATTCCACCTCCTAAGCTATTACCCAATTTTAATATAATGGTCACTCATGTTATTTTAGGGGATGGGGCTTATCCTCTAAAAAGATTTTTAATGAAGCCATATAAAAATAATGATGATAACTCTAAAATATTTAACTAACACCTATCTTCGTGCAAAGCGAATAGTTGAATGCAGTTTTGGAATTTTAACATCCAAATGGAGAATTCTATTAAAAGAGGTAGAGGTGAGCCTTCCTGTCTTTGAAGACATTATCAAGGCTTGTTGTGTTTTACACAATATTATTTTGGAAAAAGAAAAATTAAACATCACAAATTATGAATTGGGAGATACAATTTCTAAAATATGGAACCAACAAAGAAAGCATCAAGAATACTTCAAATCAAAACAAAAATATTAGAAATTTATTATCTTATTGTTAATATTTTGCCTTAGCAAAATAATATATTAAACTAATATTTATATATTCAATATTTTGTATTATAAAATTTATATGTATCAAATTCCTGTATACTTTATTAGTATATATTCTATTTTAATAAAAAAATATCATAAGTCATCCAATAACTTGCTTATAAAATCATTATTTGGTACCAATTAACCATGTTTTTGATTATATAAATAAATATTGTCTGCTATTGTATTCAAATTAAATACTTGGTGAATGGGTAATAATAAGATTTATTAGAAATTGATACTCTGATTTTTTAATGTGTCATATATTAAACTGAAATGGTACTTAAAATGATATAATTATATAGCAAACATAAAATTCATAATGGTGCTTAAAATGATATAATTATAAAGCAAATATAAAATTCATAATGGTACTTTAAAATGATATAATTTTAAAGCAGATATAAAATTCATTTAGCAATTATAATAAATTTATTTAAAAATTAAAATATATTATTTTTTTATTTGACTTTATATAAAAAAAGCATTTGTATTCATTTTGACCTTATCCTTGTGGTCTTCTGATAAAGTTGATATTTCATCATCTATAAATTTGGCAAAAGAGGATGTCTCTTTTTTATCCTCCTCAATTTGTATAATTTTCTCAAATATTTTTTCTTCTATTATTCAAAGTTGTTATATTTTCACTGATGTAATATCATATAATGGGGTTGAATTAGATATAATTATATTTGATTGTTGTATCCGAGGTGTTAAACTTTTATTTAAAAATGATAATGTTTGATAATAAGGCCATGTTGATTTATATGGAGGCCCAGCTGAACCACTTGGACTAATTAATTTTTTGTATTCTTTATTGTGATAATCTCTTAAATTATTCCATTTAGCTTCTAAATCGTCACCTAAAAAATATATAATAGATTAAATATCTATCTACATAATTATTTCAAATGTTAGTTTAATTAAAAAATTAAGATTTACCTGATTGACCTAATTGCAATCCTAAATTTTTCCAATATTCCGTTTTTTTATGTGCATCTTTGTAATTTTCATCTGTTTTGTCGTAAATAAATCTTGAATCTTTAATATTATCAATTAAATGATATATATTCATATTCATTTTCAAAAAATTGCAAGTAACGTTAACAAATGTAAAAAACTGATCCGTCTCCACTGAATGCAGCCTGAAATCGGATTCGGCAAATTTTGAAGTCAAAACATTTTGAATTTTTGATCCGGCAAATATTTTAAAGCGTTATAACGTTACTTATAATTTTTTAAAAATGAATATGAATATATATGATTTTATTGATAATATAAAAGATTCAAGATTTATTTACGACAAAACAAATGAAAATTACAAAGATGTACATAAAAAAACAGAATTTTGGAAAAATTAAGGATTGCAATATGGTTAATCAGGTAAATCTTAATTTTTTTTATTTAAACTAACATTTGAAATAATTAAGTAGATAGATATTTAATCTATTATATATTTTTAGGTGACGATTTAAAAGCTAAATGGAATATTAGTCCAAGTGGTTCAGCTGGGCCTCCATATAAATTAACATAGTCTTATAATTAAACATTATCATTTTTAAATAAAAGTTTATCACCTCGGATACAACAATCAAATATAATTATATCTAATTCAACCCCATTATATGATATTACATCAGATGAAAATATAACAACTTTGAATAAAAGAAGAAAAAATTTTTGAGAAAATTCTCCAAATTGAGGATGACAAAAAAGAGGTATCATCTTTTGCCAAATTTATTGATGATGAAATTTCAACTTTATCAGAAGAACATAAGGATAAGGTTAAAATGAATATTATTCAAATGCTTTTTTTATATAAAAGTTAAATAAAAAAAATAATATATTATTATTTTTAAATTTATTATAATTGCCAAATGAATTTTATATTTGCTTAATAAATATATCATTTTAAAGTACCATTATGAATTTTATATTTGCTTTATAATTATATTATTTTAAGTACCATTATGAATTTTATATTTGCTTTATAATTATATCATTTTAAGTACCATTTCAGTTTAATAAATGACACATTAAAAAATCAGAGTATCAATTTCTAATAAATCTTATTATTACCCATTCACTAAGTATTTAATTTAAATATAATAGCAGACAATATTTATTTATATGTATAAATTTATTTTAAGAATTTCAGGCAAAAGCTTTTCTTATACAAACTAATTTTTAAAAAATGACACATTAAAAAATCTGAGTAGCAATTTCTAATAAATCTTATTTTTACCCATTCACCAAGTATTTAATTTGAATACAATAGCAGACAATATTTATTTATATAATCAAAAACATGGTTAATTGGTACCAAATAATGATTTTATAAACAAGTTATTGGATGAATAATGTTATTTTTTTATTAAAATAATATATATACCAATAAAGTATAGAGGAATTTAATACATATAAATTTTATAATACAAAATATTGAATAAATAAATATTAGTTTTAAAAAATATCAATATTATTAAAATAATTAATTATATTTTTGAGATCATATATAATATATAATTTATTTAAAGAATATTGGTTCATTTTAAAAAATAATAATGTCTAATCTGTTTTAAGTCGAAACGTTAAAAAAAATCACTATGAAAGCCTTGTCGGAAGCCGTCAAATTAGATGTTTTGACATGAAATGGGATCCGTCTCCACTATGAATGCAGCCTTATGAAAATCTGACAGGTCACATGATAAAAAATTTATTTCTTGCATATTTGGATCTAATCAAATCTCCAATTTTTTGTTTTATAAAAAACACGCCCTAATTATTTTGTTAATATTACCGTCTGTCTTTTTTAATTTTATTAGTCATATTTATAGTAAAACCTGTCTAATTTGGGCACAGTTGAGACAAACATTTTTGCCCAACTTAAACAGTTGCCCAATTTATCAAGACTTTCTTTTAAACTTTCTACTAGAAGTTTAACCCTGAATTCATAGTGGCGCGATTGCGATTTAGCCGCGATAAATACAAAATACAGTAAATATCATATCCAAATCATAGTTACCCATGGCGCGATTTGAATAGCGAAAGAAAATCTTGCGATTTTTTAAAAACACGAATCATTTTGTATTTATCACGTGATTTCGAAATAATGCTTCGTTTTAATTACAGATTTTAGTGAATTTAGCTCAAAATTTTAGATTTAGCGCTAATTTTAAATTATTTGAAATGAATTCGATGGCTACCTTTTTTGATGATATAAAAGCAATAATCAAGTTAAAATTATGATTTAAGTTTAAATTTTTTTTTATTAAATAGCTAAAATTGCTTTCATAGTTTCAGTTAAAGAATACGAATTCTTATATAATAAGCATAATAATTTATATAAAAATAATATAAAAAGAAAATATGGGGTTTATTAGTTCAGGAGTATAATATGCCTAATAATTGTGCATATATATTATATTTATATACCTTTTTAGATTCCTCTCTTAAAACTCTCTTGAAAAATTTGAGAGATTGTTTTATAAAAGAGAGACACAAGCTTAACAAACTGAAAAGTGGGTCAGAGGCTGGCCATCACATCTCATGGCCATTCTATCAGGATATGCTATTCCTGGTAGATACTGTAACACCAAGGTTACAGAAGTCCTCTTTAGATAAAGAGGAATGTACTCTATGTTAATGAGATATAAAATGAAAGAACGGGGAGATAAATGAATGTAAGATATGTCATTTGAATTGGTAATGCTAATCTCATTGATAAAGACTTTATATTGGATAATGTAATGGTTCCCAAAGGTCCTACACTGAGTCTGGTCTGGTAATCAATAATATCTAAATAAATATATTATTTATATTGAAGAATCTATAACTTCTATTGAATCTCCAATTTCATGTTATAAATATCCTAAAAGAAAGTCTACTGACATTGGTAATTTATATTTATTATTTGTTTTATAGAAAAATTTAAAATATAAATTAAATTTTATCATATTTTGCAAATATTTTATCTTGTATTTATTATATATTTTAACAAAAATAAATTTTCTTTTAATAAAGTCTAAATTCATTATAAATTTATGTAGAAATATAACACTAAAAAGGCTAATAGTATATAATTTTATTTTAAAAAAATCAAATATATATTAATGACAATACATTTTATTAGAAATAATATAAATATATGCAAAATATTTATAATAATAATATAATTATTAAAGAGTAAAGTTGCGTATAAGATCAAGAACTTGATCTGTTAAATCATCTCTCTGTTTTTCTGTACATCTTTCCAATTCTTCTCTCAACATGATATATATGCGAAATAGGTTTTTTATTCTTTAAAATTTCTATGAATAGCATCTTTTCCTCTTTTTCTAATTTTAATAGTCTTCTAAATTGATCGAGATTTAATTGAAGTTATAGATTCTTCAATATAAATAATATATTTATTTATATATTATTAATTACCAGACTAAGTAATAGATTCAATAAAAGGACCTTTGGGAACCATTACATTATCCAATATAAAGTTTTTATCAATGAGATCAGCCAAATAATAAATATATTACCAATTCAAATGGAATATTTTACATCCATTTATCTCTCCCATTATTTCATTTAATATCTCATTATTATCTGTAGGAGTAAATTCCTGTTTATCTAAAGAGAACTTCTGTAACCTTGGTGTTACAGTTTCTACCAGGAATAGCATATCCAGATAGAATGGCCATGATATGCGATGGCCAGTCTCTGACCCACTTTTCAGTTTGTTAAGCTTGTGTCTCTTTTATGAAACAATCTATCATTTTTTTCCAGAAAGTTTTAAATAAATACTAGTAATAGCCTGGCAAAAATGACTAGGAATGAGAATTTTCTTTTTACTTTTATGCTAGATGTTACTTGTTATTTGAAAATAATATCCAATTTTTATTCTTTTTACCCCCCCCCCCTTCAGGCCACGTTTAATCCATTAAAACTAAGTATAAATACTATGGTTTGAGTAAAAATAATTTTAAAACATTTACTTGATAATACCAATATTATTTGTTAAATAATACTGATTACTTATACCTAATATTTAATATTAAAAAAAATTCCCAGGCAAAGTCTAAAGCCATAATAATTTTGAAAAATTCTTCCAAGCCCAATAAGATCATAATAATTTTGATAGTTGAGAACTGAAATAAAATATATAAAAAGTCACAATGCATTTAAAAATACAATCAGAATATGAAAGTTGCAAGGGCCTTGGTTTTTGATCAGGCCTTGCCATGTCTTCAAAAAAATTTCAGGCCAATTTCTAGCCCTTATTTAAAATTAAAAATTTTACAGGAATCTAAGACTATAATAATTATGAAAAATGTTTCTCAAGCTATGTCCAAGTCCATATTAATGGTGAAAAATATTTACCAAGCCCAGGAAAACGTAAGGGGTTTATAAGAATTAAATCTGTCTAATTTCAAAATTATCATCAAATGAAGGGTAAAAATCTGATTTACCTATGACTGGTTAGCTTCTGGTGTTTATATGAAATTCATGAATACATATTAAAGTACCATGCTGAAAATATGCTCATCCTAATTTAAATTTTAAACAAATCAAATGATTTATTACTTAGTTACAAAATATAAAATTAAATTTAAGACATTGTTATTAAATTACAATAGAAAAATATGTCTAAGTTAACAAATAATAGGAAGTTACATATATAAGTAAAAAAAAGGTTATACATTTAATCAAAAATGTTATAATAAGTTATGAATAACACACATTCTAGAATTATAAAGTTATAAGAAAATATACAAAATTTTTCTATCTGAGGTGTTATTTAAAAATTTATATTTATTTTGAGGTTATTCCAAAATTTCCCATTATTTTTATAAAATCTGTTAATGGTATATTTAGGAATTTAAATTTTATTGTTATTTATTTGTATTTGTAATTTATAATCTAAAATTCTAAATTATATATAAATTCAAGAATTAAAATAGTATTTAAATAAATCTCTTATTACTATTGAATTGGTACTTGAACTATTTAAAGTTCTACCTTATTCCTATTGAATTGGTACTTGATGCATTTAAAGTTCTACTTACCCCTAAATATTCAGGAATATGTATAATATTAGGTGTGTATTTCCATATTCGTCTTATCTTTTCTGAAACCCCAATTTAATGGTATAAAATCCTAAATTATACATAAATTCAAGAATTAAAATAGCATTTAAATAAATCTCTTATTACTATTGAATTGGTACTTGATCCATTTAAAGTTCTACCTTATTTCTATTGAATTGATGCATTTAAAGTTCTACTCACCTCTAAATATTCAGGAATATGTATAATAGTAGGTGTGTATTCAGTGATTCAATGCACAGGTAAAATTAAAAATGTCATCTATTAATTAATATATATATATAATTAATTTTAAATTTAATTATGTTCAAGTTGGTGCATGCGTAAAGCATACGCCTTTGAAATGGAAGGTTTATGGTTTGACTCTCGTAGGGAACAAAAAATTAACATTACACTATATAGTCTCCTTAAATTTTAAATACATTAGTGAGATACGGATATTATATATATTAGATAATATATATGCACAATTATTATCAGGCATGTTATACTCCTGAGCTAATAAACCCCATATTTTGTTTTTATATATAGTATATGCTTATTATATAGGCTTTCGTATTCTTTAACTGAAAGAATAAAAACAATTTTATCTATCTACTAAAAAAAAATTAAACTTAAATCATAATTTTAACTTGATTCTTTGGTTTTATATCATGAAAAAAGGTAGCCATTGAATTCATTTCAAATAATTTAAAATTAGCGCTAATTCTAAAATTTTGGGCTAAATTCACCAAATATGAAGTTGCTCGAATTATCAAGGTCACGAAACCAGATTAGAACCAGGTGATTTCAGCCCGTGTTCTCATATAAATACTAATCACGTGAGTTCTGTACCAACTTGCTAAATGATTGAATGATTTATTTTTCTAATTCCCAACTGTAAATAATTTATTTAGCGCGTTTTAAAAAAATAAAATAAAAACTCTGATTTTTGCCCGGAAATGTATTCCAGCATGTGTAAAATGTCCTACCCTCTGATTAACTTACTTTGGCGGTAACGTATAAAAATTACGCGCACTTTTATCAAAACCGCTCTAAATTGTAAAAAATGGGTTTCGATTTCCTTTAAAAAAAATTTTAGAGAGGCTTTCAGAATTTTGGTTCCTGGATTTGTCGCGTTCCCAGTATTCTGACAAATCCTCTATAAAAAAAAATATTTATAATTTTTTACTTCTGTAACTCGTCATATTATTTTCGATTAATTCGCCCAAAATTTTATGTTCAGACAGGGCTTTTAAAAAGGCGTTAATAAATGGAGTGTAATCGTGTGTTCTTCTAGCGTCTTCCACCTTATAATCCATAAAAAATGGGAGGGGAAAGGGGTAAATATTAATCTTTAAAAAAAATTCTATTGTAATCACTTTCTCATTCTTATCTCTTAGTTTCCCAGCCTGGCCCGTGATTTAAATAATTAATATATTGTGTTGGCATTGCGTTTTCTCCGACAATGTGTTAATTTATTATTCTCATCTTTAAATTATTTTAATAAGTTTTTTACAAAAAACTTCCATTTTTGCCGGAAATATGTGGGAAGTGGTAGGATACCTAGAGTTGTTAAAAAGTCCGATTTCGGGTCGATTTTTAAAGATCCCAATACGTAAGCTTGAAGATTTTATTCGTAGGTGGCAGAAAGGTGGACATCTATTTTCCAAATCTCGAGGCTTACACGATATTATTTTGGCTAAAATCTTAGTTGAGTCTTTTTAAAGAATCGACCCAAATAGGACTTTTTAACAACCCAAAGAATACCATGATTTAAGCTAATTCTGTTAATTGCTATGAAATTTTGAGCCGTTTTTTAATTAATATAAAAAACAATTTCAAATATTCAAGGGTTTGAAATTCATGCGAAAAGGTATTCTACCACCATGTTGGATAGGATAGATTTCCAACAAAATCAGGTATAAAAGTATGATTTAAAGTAAAAAAAATATAGCACCCTTCCCGGAGAAAATCTATTGAATACTAAAAAAAACCTATATATAAGCAGGTTATATGCAACCTTATATTATACCTTATATCTAGCCCATTTTTCGTTTTCCTTGCTCAGTTTTTCGTGACATTCATTTATCTCGTCTTGTAAATGGTATAAAAAGGTTATGAAATCCTAAAAAAATAAATCAGAATTAGATTTTTATTATATATGATTACTGTGCTATATATTTATTTGTTATTAGATAATTAATTTGTATTAGAATTGTTTTTTTTTATAATTATTTTTTTTTATAATTATTTTTTTTTAATAATTATTTTATGTTGTAAAAAAAAGAGAAACATTTATATATAGAAGAAAAAAAAGGATTATTATATGATTCATTCGTTTAAAAGAAAAGTTTTTATTAGAACTGATATTTTTAATTTAGTTAAATTATTATTTTTTTTTGTTATTTATTATTATGCATTAATTAAATAGATATATAGGGAGAAAAAAAGAAATAAAATTAATTATTGCGCTTTAATTTTTATTTTTTTTGAAAAAGAAATAAAATATTATCATTTATTTTTAATTTGCTTTTCTTTTTATTTGGTTTTGAACGAAAAAGAAAATATGTAAAGTACAAACTTGTTATTCTAAAAGATTAGATAGGAGAATTTTATTAGTGGTGGCATAAAACAATTATTCGACACTTGCGACCTTCGGACTGTTATCAGCACGACGCTCGTGTTATTATCAAGTTTCGGATTCCAGGGATTAATCAAAGGCCATAAGGGCAGGTTTGCATCAGAGCAAATTCCAGGGATTAATCAAAGGCCATAAGGGTAGGTTTGCATCAGAGCAAATTCCAGGGATTAATCAAAGGCCATAAGGGTAGGTTTGCATCAGAGCAAATTCGAGGAATTTAGTACCCGAAAGGCCAAGTACACGGAAGTGCTGCCCAAATTTGTACGAATATAAACCCGTTAGAAATTCGTTCAAATTTTTATTGAAAAAGCCAGTTACACGGAAGTGCTGCCCAAATTTTTGCGGATACGAATCTATTAGAAGAATTCGCCTGAATTTTTATTGAAGAGGCCAGTTATACGGAAGTGCTGCCCAAATTGCGGATACGAATCTATTAGACGAAATCGCTCAAATTTTTATTGAAAAACCTAGTACACGGAAGTGCTGCCCAAATTTTTGCACATATAAATCAATTGGACGTAATTGTTGCGCATTTTGAGGTATATTATATAACATAAAGGCGTGGACTATACAATCTCGTATTGAAAAGGTTAATTTATATTTTTAAAATTGTCGATGTATATGTACATCATTGGCTTATTTATGTTACTTATTATATCTTACTTGTTGACATTGCAAATATATTTTGAAATGATTTATAATATTTTTATAACGTTGATATGAAGAGTTTAAAATTTGTTAAATAGTGGGAGATACAATACAATATTTTTGGTGCGCTAGTTATACTATTAATATGGGTATGTAGTTTAGTTTGGGGCAGGAGAATGAGAAGAAGTCGCAGCGCAAGAATAAAAGGACAAACATTGACCATTGAAGGACATAATGGAGAGGATGATATGATGGGTAAAGTAACCTGGTTACCTGTTCAGGAGTTAATTAAGGGGTGGGCGGATAGTGATGTAATTAAAAATTTACATAGTTCGGATAAACAAAATTTCGAAGATAATACAAATTAATTATCTAATAAAAATAAAAATATAGCACAAGTCCACCCCTAAAAAAATTATCTTCTTCCTTGACCAAGAATTCCATCATATCCTCCCAACTCTTTCATTCAACGACTCCTGGATTGTTGACTCCTCCACTCCCTCCTCATTGCTTTGTTCATCCTCAGCTCCATCTTGAGCCTCTTTCCGTCCTTCAATTCCACATCCGAGTCTGGCTGGTATCGACATTCCCCCGTTCTTGAGTAGCTTCCACAATTCCAACCGCAGGATAGGGATCTCCCCATCTTCCTGTGTCCGGATCATACTCCCATCATTCGTATCCCCTAATCGGTTCCACTGGCCTATATTCTCCCAGCTCCACGGACACCATCGTTAAAGATGTCCCAGCTCTCCACAGTTAATTAAATATTTATAAATTACCTAAAATCAGAATGCCTTTCGGAAGAAGCTGGATATATGAAGACATACAGATAGAACTAATTTTGAGCCCTAGATAGAGGTTATTCCCAGGGAATGAATTACGAGCGTCCGTGAATACAAGAATAGGAGGAAGAGGATTAGGGACGGAATATCGGCTATGCTAAAACTGTGGGGAGCGGGGACATCTTCAACGATGGTGTCCGTGGAGCGGGGAGAATCATAGGCCAGTAGAACCGATTAGGGGATAAGAACGATGGGAGTATAATCCGGACACAAGAAGATGGGGATTGGAATTGTGGAAGCGACTCAAGAACAAGGGAATGACGACAGCCAGCCAGGGTAGGATGTGCAATTGATGAGGACGGAAAATCACCTGGAGGCTCGAGATGGAGCTGTGGATGAACAAAACAATGAGGAGGGATTGGAGGAGTCAACAATCCAGGAGTCGTTGATTGTGGAGGAGGATGGAGAGGAGTGGAGAAAGAGTTGGGAGGATATAATGGAATTCTTGGTCAAGGAAGAATGGACCTGTGCTATATTTTTATTCGTTATTAGATAATTAATTTGTATTAGAATTTTTTTTTATAATTATTTTTTTTTAATAATTATGTTTTAGTTGTAAAAAAAAGAGAAATATTTATATATAGAAAAAAACGATTATTATATGATTCATTCGTTTAAAAGAAAAGTTTTTATTAGAACTGATATTTTTAATTTAGTTAAATTATTATTTTTTTTTGTTGTTTATTATTATGCATTAATTAAATAGATATACAAATTCAGGAGAAGTATCTTGCGAAGGAAAAGAAACTCTATTATGCGTTTGTTGATTTGGAGAAAGCATTTGATAGGGTGCCGCGTGAGATTACAAGATGGGCCTTGAGAAAATCCGGTGTGGAGGAATGGTTAGTTACCGCAGTGATGGCAATGTATGTTGGAGCACAAACAGCAGTACGGACGGATTATGGTGATAGTGACAGCTTTGAGGTGAAGGTAGGACTTCATCAAGGATCCGTGCTGAGTCCATTATTATTTATCTTAGTAATGGATGTGGTGGCTAGAGAAATGCGTGAAGGACTTCCCTGGGAAATATTATATGCAGATGACCTTGTATTAATGGCAAACAGTGAGGGAGAATTGAGGGATAAAGTTAGTAAATGGAAGATGACTATGGAAGCAAAGGGCCTGAAAATGAATGCATCAAAAACAAAGGTGATGATTGGTGGGGAAAATCTAAAGATAGAAGAATCAAGTAAGTGGCCTTGTGGTGTATGTGGGAAAGGAGTTGCTAGAAATTCTATCCAATGCACCAGATGCCAGAAATGGGTACATAAAAGATGTAGTGGGAAAAAAGGCAGTTTGATGTTAGAAAGAATGACCTTTATTTGTAAAACATGCATGAAAGGGATACATAATAATGATAACCTAAAAAATGGTGGTCTGGATATTGGCAATGGCTTAACCCTAGAAAAAGTGGATAAGTTTTGTTATTTAGGTGATATGCTAAACGCAGATGGTGGTGTAGATTCTGCTGTTGTTGCAAGGATCAGACAAGCTTGGAAGAAGTTCAGAGAGATGTCGTCTATACTTACAAATAAAAAAGTTTCTCTGAAGTTAAAGGGGAAAGTTTACGTAAGCTGTGTGAGGAGTTGTTTAGTTTATGGCGGTGAAACATGGGCAATGAAAGCAATTCACGAAGCCAAATTAGAAAGAACAGAGATGAGGATGGTTAGATGGATGTGTGGGGTATCTCTGAGAGAGAGAAAAACTAGCAAGGAATTGCGAGCAAGATTAGGTATAGAAATGATTGGTATGGTAATGCGACGAAATAGACTAAGATGGTTTGGGCATGTGGAACGTATGACAAGAGATGACTGGGTAAAGAGATGCACAATGATGGAAGTAGGAGGATCAAGACCTAGAGGAAGACCCAAGATGACGTGGACAAATGTGATAGCAGCGGATATGAGAAGCTTGAATCTTACAAGTATTGATGCTCAGGACCGTCAAAAATGGAAAAGAAAAATCAGAGGGAAAACTGGCCTACCCGGGTAAACCTGGAAATCGCCATAAAACGGAGAAGAAGAAGAAGAAGAATATATATATATATATATATAGAGAGAGAGAGAGAGAAAAAAGAAATAAAATAAATTATTGCGTTTTAATATTTTTTTTTGAAAAAGAAATAAAATATTATCATTTTTTTTTAATTTCCTTTTCTTTTTATTTGGTTTAGAACGAAAAAGAAAATATATAAAGTACAAACTTGTTATTCTAAAATAATAGATAGGAGAATTTTATTAATTACTATATAAGTATCCTAAATAAACATAACCTCAATCACAAAAGATAGTTAAATTAATTGTTTTGGCTGTGTCCCACAGTTCGACTCATTTACAGATGACTTAGACTAAACAGCCTAAAAGGTAATATAAATAAATAGAAGAAAAGAAAAGAAATTAAAACGCCAAATAATTAAAACAAACCAAAATAGGGTATCCTAGTTCAAAAGCTATTTGACCTATGCTAAACAGAAATAAGTGTCAAAAATAAGTCGAACCGGGACACACACCTAATCTTTTTTTAATGGATCAGGAACAGTTAAGCCCTTCTTATAGGGACGCAAAACGGAAGTGCCCGTGTTTAGTATCCCTAAAATAAACGCAACTTGCGATGTTTCAAATAAAATTATGCTGTGGCGTGTAATTAAAAAAATTGCACATCAAAGCTGGCCATTACACAAAAAAAATGAAATAAAAATAATAAATTGTTAATACGCTTTTATAGTTTATAATAGCTTTCCTCGTTTCGGTATACATTTAATCAAGCTCATGACTATAAACTTAAGACCGGCATGGTGCGACCTGGCCTAAACGCCCGGCCCGATAACTTGAACGAGTTATATTTGACGGACGGGGCATAAATGATCACGAACCGGGTCAAAACCGATAAAAAATTTCCAAAGGTGATTATAAATATAAAATTAAATGTATATAAACGTACTAAACTTTAAAATCGGGAGTTACGGCATCGTGCGATACAAGCTCGTTAGGCGTCAAACTATGCAAAGATTTAAATTTTTTGACATGGTGCACAAATTTCTTTTTCACCCTATCGGGTAAGGTCACTAACATATCTCCCAATAATTTCGGCTTCTCGATCTTGTTAGATTTGTTATTGTTTGGAATATCAAAAAAAAAATTTTAATAATGTAAAATAAAATAAAATAAAATGGAGTCCTGAGTCGAGCGTGATTTTTGTGGTAGTCAGCAGCCCCAGGAGTCTACATAAAAAATTAATTCATATTTCCTTCCTTACACTTATTCATTGGGCAAGACCAAATCTTGATTGTCTAATTATGATATAGTTCCTCGCATTATGCAAAGAGCTTTCGCAAATATAATATTTAAAATTTGTAAACGCAACTCAAATTAATATCAATTTTTTAAGGAAAATAAAAATAATTAGCTAAAATTCTTCCACGTCAGAAATATAATTTGTATCTTAAAATCATCTAATAAATACTAACCCAGGTTAGGCCTACTTAACAAATACGAAGAGTTATTTGATATTCGATTTGTTTTAACGTTTAATTTAAACAAACCCTTTTTGATCAAAATGGTGGCAAATGTACATTATGGAGAAAAAACAACTAATTATTCATTTTAAATCAAATTATAATCCTTTGTTTGTGGAAAATAAAAATAAAAAAAATAATCAGCTGGAGGCATCCGACTGAGAAAAGACCTTTCAAATAATTTTTAAAAATATATGGCCAAAATTTTAAGAATTCGTGTTAGGTCAAAGCGGTTTGATATAATATGTTAGCGGCAATAAATCATTTTTTGAGCGCGTTTTTTTTTCAAATTTAAAAATCTGATTTTACCGGAGATGTATTCCAACATGTTTTAGAATACCTATCCCATTAATTGTAGACAACATTTCCCTATAGCTCTGAGTCAGCGAATATAAATTATATTAAGTCTAAAAGTTCATAGCAAAATTGTCTAGAAATTCTTAGGTTAGGTATTCAAAACATGATGTAATATATTTTCCGGTAAAAAAAGTGCTTAAAAATATGAATTTTAAAAGTTGAAAAAAAATAACATATTGACGCTAACATATATATAAAGACACCGAATTTCATTTCTAACAAATCAAAATAATTTACAAAAATTAAATGATTGTTCTTCTAAAATTATTCGAATTTCAGTCGTCAAATTATTGTAAAATTTGAAAATTTGGTCAAAATAATTTTTCGAAAAAACCAATTCAAACAAAAATCAAAATCATTTGCGGCCATCTTTATATTGAACCCAGTACCACCATTTTTTCGACATATGTTTTTTAAATCTAATTTTCCAATTCATTTTTTCGAAAAGAAGTTTTGGGAATTCGCAAGCAGCCTTAAGAAATCTTAGTATAAATTAATTGTTAAAATATAAGTTATACTTACTTCTTTAACATTTTCGTGCATATTTATGGGCATGATATGAGTAGGATCGTTTTCTATGTTCAGAAATTTCTTGTAACACCCGATATCAACCTTTTTGAGAGCCTGCCAATCATATATATATGATTTATAAATCATTCTTATTTTAAAAAAAAGAGTAAAAAAATGTAAAAAGTAATTTTTCGAATATCGGCCTTAGACCATTTCCAAACAGAAGGTTTTTTCAAAGCGGTTTTTGAGTCATGTTTCCGTTTCCAAAACTAGGAATAATATAGTTTGTCGAAATTATTTTTTTTTATATAATATATTATTTTTTAAAAAAGTAAGGATTAAAGATTCCAAACTTTAGACGACATTTTATTGTTACTATGAAAAAACGTTCAGTTTGGATACGGCCTTATAGTGAGAACAAATTGAGCGTTTCAAACACTGCGTTGCAAGCGCCAATAATGCCTTTCTAATAACCTCGTGCAAATTGATAAAATTACCGTTTGGCGTTAGCAACAATTCTAAAAAACGTCAACAGGTTTGTTTTTTCAATACTTTTTTATTCTTTGTTTTGTAACACCTATAATATATATAAAAGTTTTGTCACAAAAATAGCGTTACGCTCTCGTGTCACACTTTTCATGTCCCACTTTATAATATATATTCAAAAAATTTGTTAATTTTAAAAAGTGCTGTGGCCCAATCGGGCAAGAACTTTGCTTACAAATCTAGATGGATTATTGGACTTGGGTTCGAATCCCGGCAAATATTTTTTTCCTTAATCTGGTAAAATATATTTTTTTAATCTGATAAAATTAATCAAATAGATACGATTCAAAGAGTACGCGATTTATTTAAATACTTTTTTTAATTATATGGGGAATCAGAATTTTCTCTTTTATTCAATGAGGGATGAATCTGAAATTTTCCTATCTTATGAGGTGTAATTTAAAAATTTATATTTATTTAGGGTTATTCTAAAATTTTCATTATTTTTATAAAATCTATTATAATAAAAGGCTTGTCACAACTGTGACATTATATAGTCAATTATTTTACCTGATAATAGTCAATTATAATTTTGTTAATATATTATGTAATATTCAACTTCTTTATTAATTATTGGACGTTTGTCCTACTTAAATAGGGAGTGATTCTTAATAATATTTAATTAATATTAACAAATTCGGAAGTATTTAAGTTATGTTAAATTGTAGTTTTAATCTCCATGATATTTAGCGCCATCTATAATATTATATTATTTTTTAAATAGCATTATATTTCTAAGTTGAAATGTAAATATTTTGTCTTAATTGATGTCAATATATTGTTCTTTCTATATATCTATAATTTATCTATCTATCTATCATAGCAATTTTAAGCCAATTTAGATCATATTAGCAAAATGGAAAGCATTTCAGAAGTATTTTGAGGCAATAGGCAGGAAGGAACATTAGTATGAAAAAAATGTTTGCAGATAATCCTACAAGAGCTAAGGAATTCAAATCTATAATATATATATTCAATAAAAATCATCATAGCTTAAACATATCAAACACGCATTCATAAACCAAATCGAACCGCCATTTTCAAAAAAAGAATTTCAATACAAAAAACAATTAACAAAACATATAATAATATAATAATTGATATTTTTTTTAACAGACACCACATCGAGCAAAACCTTCAATCATCATCAGTAAATAATATTTTTTAACAGACACCACATCGAGCAAAACCATCAACCATCATCATCAGTAAATTTTATTTTATACTTTCAATTTACACATCTTATTTCCAGTTATTTACGGCAAGTTACGAGCAAGGAAAACATCAAAAAAACGACACCACATCATCAGTAAATTTTATTTTATACTTTTATTATTATTACAATTAAAAAATAGTATTGACGTATAATTGTAAATAATATTGTTGCTTTTAAACATATATATATCTTTACTTTTAGATGAATTTATCAGTTATTGAGATTGGCTTAAGTGGTATTAGTTTTATATTTTGGTTTGTATTGGTATTAGTTTTGTAACCCAATAAAATATTGAATATTGTTGTCTGTCTTAGAATTTTATTGGTTTATTTATTTGAATGGGTTAATAAAATATATTATCAAGAGGTAATGACGTATAATTGTAAATAATATTGACATTGCTTTTAAACATGTATATATCTTTACTTTTAGATGAATTTATCAGTTATTAAGATTGGCTTAAGTGGTATTAGTTTTATATTTTGGTTATCTTTTAAATGTGAGCAAGGTGTATATTTGTGTCCTTTATTGACAATAAAGAAAATGTCTCAAGCACCGGGATGTCTCGACTATATTTAAGAACCTGGGAGCCCTAATATCTATCATCCTTTCATAGATTGAGTTTTTAAAGATATAAAAATAGTTATAAAGGAGAAAATTCTAATTCCCCGTCATACTTGACGGGTTATTAGCTAGTATTTAATAAAATATATATTTCGTAATTTTAATTTGTGTACAATTAAAAAGTCTTTTAAAATAAATTTTTTCATTTGTATTTTATGATCTAAAAATTTATTCTTGCAGATGAGAGTTTTATGTTAAAACCCTTAAGAAGGATCCATTCCACATTGAATTTTATACAACTTTATATCTCTTAATTAGGTAAGTTTTATGCATAAGTAAATATTTAATCTTTTCTGAAACTGGCCTTTCTACATGCATTCCATAGTTTTGTTTATCATAACTTCATAATTTAATTGTAGAAAGTATATTTTTCATAACTTATTTTAACATTTTTGATTAAATGTATAACTTTTTTGTTTAACTTATATATAATTTGACTATGATTAAAGTTAACCTCCTATTATTTGTTAACTTAAAATATCTTTTTATTTTTTCTATTGTAATTTAATAACAATGTCTTAAATTTAAATTTATATCTTGTAACTGAGTAACAAATCATTTGTAAGGGTGGTGGTTTGTTTAAAATTTAAATTAGAATGAACATATTTTTAGCATGGTACTTTAATATGTATTCATGATTTTCATATAAATACCAGGCAGGAGCTAACCAGTAGAATGATAGGTAAATCAGATATTTCCCCTTCATTTGATGCTAATTTTAAAAAATTTTCCCAATAATATAAATGGCAAAAAAAATATATATATATTAGACAGATCTAATTCTTATAAACCCCGACATCACACCTTTTTCTGGATCCAAAATAAAAAAAATTATTCTGGGTTTTCCTGGGTTTGGGAAATATTTTTCACAATTAATATGGACTTGGAAGTAGCTTGGTAAACATTTTTTAAAATTAATATAGTCTTAGATTCCTGAAAATTTTTTAATTTTAAATATGGGTTAGAAATTGGCCTGAAAATTTCTTTTGGAGACAGGGCCAGGCCTGATCAAATACCAAGGCCCATGCAACTTTCATATTCTGATTGTATTTTTAAATGCATTGTGACTTTTTATATATTTTATTTCAGTTCTCAACTATCAAAATTATTATGGTCTTTTTGAGAAAATTTTCTCAAGTGCGTGAACCTGGCTTGTGAATTTTTTTAATATTAGGCATAGGTGTAATATTTAACACAGAATACTTATATGGCCCTCAGGTAAAAGCTAATTTAAATATATTTTTATAAAAATAATATTCATTCTCAGTCTTAATGGGTTGGCCTTTGTCTGAAGTAGGGGTGAGCTGGGTTAAAATAGAATAAAAAATAGATATGGTTTTTAGAGATTTACCTATCTCCCGGGTTGGGAAAAAATTATGAAAATTACTATGGGTTGGCCAGGCTTGGGAAAAATTTTTTTATAAAATTTTTATAGGTTTGGCTGGGTTTGAAAAATATTTTTATAAACAATATTAGGCTGGGCTTGGAGAAAATTTTTCAAAAATATTATGAGTTAGAACTATGAGTCAAACATTGGCCTAAAAAAATTTTATGCAGGTCTGGGCTTGGACTGATCAAAAAACCTAGGCCCATGCTGATTTTGATTGTATTTTTAACATTATGATTATTTAAATATTTTATTTCAGTTCTCAACAACCAAAATTATTATATTCACTGGGCTTGGAAGAATTTTTCAAAATTATTATGGCTTTGTACTTTGCCTGGGAATTTTTTTAATATTAAATATTAGGTATAAATGATCAGTAATATTTATCAAATAATATTGGTATTATCAAGTAAAAGCTTTAAATAATTTTACCAAACCATAGTATTTACACTTAGTTTTAATGGATTAAACCTGGCATAAAGGAGGGGAGGAGGGATTAAAAGAATAATAGTTGGATATTATTTTCAAATAAGAGGTAACAACTATCATAAAAGTAAGAAGAAAACTCTCATTCCCCGTCATTTTTGACGGGCTATCTTCTAGTATTATATAAAAATGTAATATAAATAACTTACTCATATCCTAAAAAGGAATATTTAGAAATTAAAGAAATAAGAACGCAGACGATAATATAATTTTCAAAGACAGATCCTTTTTTAGACCTTATTTAATTTGTGATCGGCGGATATTAATAAAAAAAGACAATCTCAATTTAAACAAGGGACGCGTTAAGTTTTTTTATTTAAAAATTGCGGCAAAAGGTAAGCGCTCAATTTGTGGGCACTATTAGATTACGCGTATTATAAGAAAAAAAATGGGGAGAAAAAGTTGATAGTTGTACCCATGAAAGGTGACAAAAAGTCGAGAATAGTGTTGTTAAAAAGCACGATCGGGTCGATTTTTACATATGGTCGTAACCAGGATAATATTATGTGAGCCAAGAGATTTTGCTCATAGATGACCGAAAAATTTGGACATCTATCCGCCAAATCTCAAGGCTTACTAATTTTGGCTAAAACCGTAATCGGTTCGATTTTAAAAACCGACCCAAATCGGGCTTTTTAACAACGGTAGTCGTGAAAAAAAAAGAGTTATTATAATAGCTTACTTCAATTAAGTTTAAAATTTATATTAATATATAATCGAACATTGAAGGTAGATATGATTAAACATTATTTCAGCGCAACCGATAATTTGGCTCGGCGATAATTGGACGCTAGTCAAATGCTTGACAAATCGTCCAAGCAACAATTGGGCGTAAATCCTTCGAGGTATATCTGTGTATGCCCAATTGTCGCTGAGCGGATTCGATAGGTGACTGAGTAGACATGGGCTGAATTGACACATGCACTGAATTTTTTTTAAATTATTATATAGCTGTAAGATTTTTGATAATTTAAATGCCCCCCTCCCCTTTAAATTTATGCTTATTTTTATAAAATAGATTTTCAATATTTAGAACTTCGGAATCGGCCCCGAAGGGTTGCGGATTCTTACTTAAACCTGATAAATTTTCCGTGGATATATATCTACCTTACATTCACAGTTGGCGCCAAAAATGCTGTATTTTTTTGTATTCTTCGAGGCGCATACTTTATAAGTCACCGCGAATTCGCGCTAAGTTTTTTTCTACGTTTTAATCATATTATACTTCTTTTTCCCCCAAAGATTTTCTCCCGCATAATTTTAAGTCAATTTTTAATCTAACAATATTTTTTTTCTCGATATATATCGGTCGTTATTACAAGCTACTGTTTTAGCAGAACGATCTGCTGGAGGCGTCTCGAGCCTTGAGATCGAGTCAAAAAAAGTCACATCTAGACTGAAAGACATAGCTTTTTATCAATTTTTAACATTGTAAATCTACTCACTTCCGGTATAAACTCCAAGGAGGTAAATAACTGAGACTTCCTAGCTAACAACTTCTTCCTTATAACCATACGCTTATCCACGCACACTGCCATGAGGTTGTACCTAATTTCGCGAGAATTATTTAACGTCTCTTGGTTATCCTTGACAGGATTGGATGATTCGTTGACATCGTTATTCGAGTCTCTAACAAAGATATTTTTTAAAAAAAAGACGTATACATATATGTAGTATCGGTTGGCGCAACCGAAAACACGGAGGTTTTTAGAAAAATATTTTTTCAGCCCGGTAAATAAATTGTGTACAAGTTGTCTGACCCGGTCGGTAAAAATTATTTATGAAGAAAAAAATAGATGCATTCGTCTAATTCTAAGTTTGTTTTTTTTGATTGGCGAAATTCGGGCCCAGCTGGTATTTCAAAACAAAAAGGGTTGGCAAGTCGGTCAATTGACCGGTCAAATTCAGTCAATCAACCGATCAAATTCGGTCAACTGACCGGAGGTATATTTGACCTAATCAAATACGGTCAAATACTCTAAAAAATATGTTTGAAAAAAGAAAAAAAAACGATATAAAATGTGATCACAATGCTGCTTATTTATTGGGTCCTCAATATTAAGGGGAGCATCTTACTAGTAGTGAATTTAATGAAGTATGCGATACAATACAAGAATTAGGCATTTTACAATGTAGTGATACTCATAATATATTGAGTGATATCATAAATTTCAGAAGTAAAATGAGGCATGCTTAATAGCAAATTATGTGAAAACCAGTATTCCATAAGAAGTGATCAGTTTCAAGTCTCAAGTTAGTCTAATGGGCTTTGATCACCATGCCCATTAATAGAGGTGGCATTTTACTAACAATTCCTAGTTCTACTTCTCCTTCTTTAAAAAGAAATTGGTCGATTTGGGTTTTAATATTCTTACTAAAACAGAAATCGATTGAAGATCTCGACAACAGGAAAATTGATTTAAAAAAATATTTTAAAAAAATTGATAATGTAGAATATGAATCAGGACAAGATTTGCCATGGAGAGCGAAACATTAGCTTTTGAATGACAATGAATTTTTTAAATAATATTATATAATATCATAGATTCATTTTACTATTATAAACAAAAATAAAGAAAATATCTTTATTTGTTTGAATTCATATTTGATCTGCCTTTATAATAATAAATAAAATTTAAATATAAATCATATGATAATATTTAAAAAAAGCCAATAATTTTACACATTTTATTCTAACGCGTTCTCATCATCACGGCTGTAAGGTTATTAAATAAAAGTACCTTTTATTGATAAAATTTAATCGAGGGATTGCGAAAAATTATAAACTGCTTCCAAGAAAGAACAGAAGTTGTATTTGGGTTGGAGGATAGATCAGAAACATTTCCTAAACATAATAGGTCTAACATCCGACGTTGAATCTTGACGAAATTTTGTTCTTGATAGTACCTATCCTCAACCCCGATAACCGTTTTCCAATTGGCGATTCCAGTGATGGTATTCACAATATATAATTATACTCAAATGAAGACGTTTACAATTAAATATCCCAACCAGATGGTACCACAGTATTATTATTTAAGCTTGTAGATATTTTCCGGAGCTAATAAAGATCGGCTTAATAATGTTGTATAAAGAATTTGGAATAAACATTATCTTAAGACTTTATGCATTGGATCTAGCGAAGTTTTATTAACAAAATTCTTCCAAAAAAAGGAAACTGCTAGTATTGTAAATTTTATGAATTTTTATTATATCTGTCCATCAATAAAATGCTTTTTGTTGATTGGTAGGAGATAAAACAAAGTTTTATAATATAATAAATAAAAAAAATAATTATTATAATTTTTATTTATATTTTGATAATATATTATTTATTGTAAGGAATTGTATTGAAAAATAAAAGTTTTTAAAAATTAAAGATTTTAATTTATATTTTATTTATTTTTAATTAATTTTTATAAGAAAATTGAGGTTTAAGTTGAGGTCTATCTAAGAAAATATAAGAAAATTGAGATCAAGTTTAAGTCTGTTAAAGAAACATCGTTTTTTTTTCATCACAAAGGTTTATCTTGAAGTCGGCAAGAAACCCCATGCTAACTTTAAGAATGGCTGACAATATTTTAGCCGCAAAGCATCAAGCAAGCCTAAAGATATTTGCTCATAGGTGATAAAAAAAAAGTTTGAACCATCTCGCGGCTTGCGTAATATTATTTTTTGGCAAAAATCTTAATCTATAATTGGCTAAATAGACCCGTTTAACAACCAGTACATACAGAGTTTGGAAGAGAAAAAAACGATTTTTTATATAAATTTGTGATTTCATTTTGAATATCTTTAATACATAAAATTACATTATATAAAATTATTGTTTTTTTGGCATAATCTTTCTCTTTAAAAAACAAAAATTTCAAAAATGAGTTAAAACTAATAAATTTTGATTTTTTATAAATATTCGTCAATTTTTTATTAAATAAAAACGAATTTTTAATATTATTTAATCTTTTTAGTTAAAACCGGTGTCAAGAACTGCTAATTCTTTTTTTTTAAAACAGCGCCAAATATAATGATCGATAATCTGTACTCAAACCCGTGCAAATCTAAATATTACACGAATAAATTAACAGATATTAGATATTTATATCATTCACCTTCGCACGTTTATCCGCTCTACAATGATGTCCTTGAATTTATCGGTCCAATTTTCCGTTTCCGACCAACTACCTATAAATGATTTTTTTTTTAAAAAATATAAGGCCTCATTTATAAGTAACCACGATGTCGCTCAGAAAGCGATGCGTAAATTTGACTAAAAAAAACCTAATACTTAAATCATAGAGCTATGCTATCAACGATTAGTTACACGTCAAAGAGCGATACACCCTAGCCCTAACTCCTTTTAAGATTTCCAAATAAATTTTAGGGTTCATGGTAGTGGTCATTGCTGTACATAATCGGCCTATTCAAAACTGAATAAGATCGTATAACTGACTATTCGCACTTTGTTCTTATTGAACAAATTTTTACTTTTCGTTTCTTACGAATAATGAAATATACTATTTTATAATTCGATTTGGAATAATTATGAATGGTAATTCATTCTTCGTTATGGAAAGAATCGAATGCGAATAATTCGATTTGTATAGGCTAGTGTTGTTAAAAAGCCTGTCCCGATTAAGATCATAAGCCTAAAGATTTTGCTCATAGCTGGCAGGGATGCTTGGACATCTATTTGGGGAACTCGATACTTACATTATACTATTTCTAAAATCTTAATCGGGCCGTTTGGAAAAATCTACCCAAATCGGGCTTTTTAACAAGACTAGTACAGGCAGAGTAGGTATGTATATAAAAAAATTGTTATATTTTTATTCACTCCTCCCTACCTCAATACAAAATATGATTTCCAGCTTTTGTTTGCTTAAGTTTTTAGATTCAATTAAGATTTTAGAAATGAAATCCAAATAATTTGTGACTTAAAACAAACCATTTAAACGTATCAGCAAAATTTATCTTTTCTCTCATTTATTTTTCCCTATTTTTTTTTCTTCGTAACAATCATATTATTATTTTTCTTTGAAAAAAAAAGGAATATTTATTACTACATTGAAGAAAAAAAAATATAATAAAATAAACTATTCTCCATATTAAAAAAAACCGTGATTTATAGGGAACGGCTTCAAACCGTCCAGTTCAAAGAGTTCACCATCTATCGGTACGAAGCTAACGTAATGAAAACAATCGTTGTTGTTCTTGGGAGATGCAGATTTATTGTAACTTTCTGTCATGCAATTTTCGTTCAATAAGTTGTTTTTAATGGCTTTCTCCTGAGACTCGGTATTTTTAGTGGCACTTTTGCAATCAGGGTTGTTATGATTTGAAGCAATCTCGTTGGATAATATTGTAGTTTTTTGGATAAACTCTTTAGTTAAAGTGAGTTCATTACTGCCCTTAATCGTTTCTTCAATGATTTTGTTAATGGGAAGGTCATTGGCTTTAATGTGAGATGATGGAGCCCTCATTTTGTCGGCTTAGCAGACCAAATAGTTGGTTATTTTTTAAATATTAAAACAATTATACTATAAATAAAAATTACCATTATCAATAGTTTCTTTAGAGGCTTCAATTTTACCCATTGAAGAGTTTGTCATTTTATTATGGCCATCAATATGATTAGTCAAAATGTCATTCATACATCTTTTTTCTGCATTGCTACTTTGTGATTCTTTTTGCTGCTTAAGAGGTGGATCCTTTTTGTCACATTCATTCCTTGGGTGGTTTATAAAAATTAGAATATATAATTTGCTTTAAAAGAACAATAGAGATAGATGATATCACTATTCTCATTAAAAATGTAAAAACTAGAGATGCAAAAATTATAGATCCCATATCCCAGATGTTCAATTACTAGCATAAATCTTCTCTTTTGATTCTGGCTAATTTGGTTAATAGTAAAATTTTTTTCTTATATATATATATATATATTAGCAGTGTATTTAAAAAAAAGAAGTGAATAATTTTTCTTAAATTATCTAATATTAAGAAATAAATTGGAATCCTGGTACTGGAAAAATATATCGAATCCAGTGCATCTATAGGAAAAAAACCATAAATTAAATTACCTTGCAAATTTATTATGAGAATTGGCTAGCACTTTCATGTTTGCTATGGCATGTCCCTTATTCTTTTCAAAACATAGTTTATAATTATATAAAAAGAATTGAATTCAATTATTAATTAAATTTAGTTATGCATTTATACAAAGGATAAAGCAATACTTAAATTATAATAACCATTCCATTGTTTAGTGATAATGATGATTGTAAGATTTAACCCTCATTGTGCTTACAATAAATAATTACCTAAAATTTTACTATTCATTACTGACTAAAAATGATAGCATAAATAATATATTAGCATTTCATACTTCTGGTGTGTATAGATGTGTGTATTGTTTAAAATTAGACAAATTTTCACCTATATCAATATCATGTCTATTTAATATAACGCTCAATAAAGCATGTGTGGCACAAGAGTTTGGCACAACCTAATATATTAAATTTATATATTCATATAATTTAAATTCACTTGTTTAGCAAAAAACATTTTATTTATTAAATTTGAATCATTTAAATAATGAGATAAATATATTTTTAGTTTATTGGTTCCAATATCAATAGATTTCTGAGATTGATCTTGACTATATTTCCTTCTGGAATAATTATACCGCCTGTTATCGTCAACCCATTTGAACAAGAATATAAATCCAAAGATCAAGCTATATGATAATAAAGTAATAAAAATGATTTAGTATTTTATATAAATTTTAGATAGTTACTCTTCATTAAAAGTATCATTTAAATCATATACTTCTTCCACTTCAACACCTTTCACACCTAATATATTCAAATAACGTATATAAATAATTATAATATACCAATATCCTCCAAAAGTAGAGAAAATAAACCTTTAAAAATAATTATACAAAACTTTTAAACTAATTATTACCTGGATCACTCTCAAGTTCTGACCAACTTTGTATATTATCTTTTGTCATAACATTTTAAACTTTGATAACCGTTCTCTTAGAGAGGTAAAAAAAAAATATAAAAAAAAAAAATTGACAGTTTTTTATTGTGCAGTTCTTCATATAAATTTAGTTAAGTGTCAAATTTTTATTTATATTAGTGTTGTAAATTAAAATCGTTACAAGCAGCGATACATTTTTTGAGAAAAAGAAACGCCATTCGTCTTGTTTCAAAGGGTAACTAACGCTATTCCATTTTCTGGGTAACAATTATGTAAAATGTAACTCGTTACTTTAAATTTTTGTCAAAAATTCTAAATCTTTAGTTAAAGCCCAGTTATAAATTCAGATCCTAATTTTGTTATTCTTATTTTATTTATTAAATTTCATTGTTGAATTTTATACAGTCTTGTTAATCTAATTAATATTAAATCGATCAAGGTATCGTCAGCCTATAATTAGGCAATATAATATAATTAAAATTTATGACTTAGGTAAATTTTAATTGATCAAGATTTAAAAGTATTGATTATTAACCATGTTAGAGCAGCGTCATAGACGTAGCCAGGTGGTGGACAAAGGGAAATCCCCCCCCCAAATCACTTTTTGTGAATATCATTTTAGCTAATATAAAATATCCCCCATAGTCCTCCCCCCTCTCTATGATCCCCAAAAATGTAATCTTAAAATATAAATTGAAAGAAAGAATGTAAAAGTTGATATTTTTAAACTAAAAATACATTTTTGGAAAAAATCATTTACATATAAAAATGAACGAAAAATGTTTATTAAGAAATGGAATATAAGTCAAAGATAAGTCTTAAGACATAAGTGAAATTTATTATAATTATTAATAATAGATCTATAAAATTGTTAAATAATATAATATATCAAATATAATTTTTTATAAAGTGAGTAATTTTAATTTATATATCTTAATAAAAGTAATATAATTATAAAACTATTGATAAAATTAAATCATGAAAAATAAAAAAAAATTAAACAGTGGAATATTATATGTCGTAGATTTACAGTATATCTAATTTTATCAATTATCATATGACTATCAAATAAGTTTTACCAATAGCGAATTATATATTTTACAGAAAACTATAAAATATTGATAAGGACATCAGAAAATATCTTTTAAAGACATTGTGGGATGAATAATATGTAGATTAAATTTTAATAACATTTTTTATTTAAATTAAATAGATGGCGTTAAATAATTGAATGCAAAATGTTGCTATATTTATTATCAAGATAATTGATTAGTAAAATTTGTTAAAATATTAACTGTAATATATTCTCTAACTGTCAAATATATCTGTAAAAATGGAATTTTATCAAGTATTTTGTAACCAATTCTATATAATAGAGGAATATCAAACTATATGTCTACTTACTTTTTATAAATAAATTTCTTATTTTTGGTTGGAATAAATTATTACCATGCTTTTATATTATTGTATATAAAAGTAATTTATTATATTTTATATAAAATAATAAAAATATATTTCATATATGTTCCAGGCTTATTTTTTTTATTAAAATAAACCTACCTTCTTACTTTTAAAAATATTTTATGACTATATACTAACTAGGAAAACCCGGCCTAATGGTAAAAGCGGGCCGAAAGCCCGTGCCAAAAAATTTTAATTCCCCCCTTCCTCCCCATAGGAAAATCCAGCTACGCCTATGAGCACCGTCAATTAGGATATTTTCGTAATTTTTCTATTACCCTTTTTATTTGTTTTATGATCCCATTTTGTGTACATTTTTAAATTTTAAAGAAAATTACTACAAAATATGTATGGAAAAACCATTTTCACTTAAATATTGGCATAATATTTTAATTCAGCTGTATTATTATTTCTATAAATAATCTATATTATAATTTTCCGATGTACTCACTAGTCACTACCATCTCTACGTATTTATTTATTTTTTTTTATATTTTTTTTTGTGGGAATCATCTGCTTTTATGAAACGATACAATATTTTGTGAAGAAATTTCTTACAAACACAAAACTAATACATCCACCATCAACAGCCAAGAAAGCACGATACAAATGAAAATGAAAAATGAGGTAATCTGTTTAACAATTGTAACGCGCATTCATTAAATTAATTCTGATATATTTAACTTATTCATTTTATGCAAATTATACTTTTATTTTTAGTTTTGCTTTTCATTTTATAACTTAACCTTTTGATTTTATATTCTAATTTTAGTATGTAAAAAATATATAAATACAAGATTAAAAATGTAATAAAGGGAGATGAATTATATTTAGAAAAACCATTTTTCCTATCTTTTCATGGTGCCTCGCTGAGGATCGGGAAACCATATTTTGAGAAAGAATTTCTTCAGGTCTTCTTTACCTGGGAATAAACCATATGGTAATGATAGATAATATTGATATGATTTTAAAAATAATTCTATCCCATTTATGAAACAAACTTTAAATATGCAACTCAATGTGATGACCAATGACCAATATCTAACTCAATGTGATGACCCAGGCGCGTACGCAGCGGGGGGGGCAGGGGGACCACCCCCCCCCTTCCCAATACAAAAAATACAGATGTCGGATAAATTTTTCTAAAATATTTTTGTTTATGTTAAGTTGTATTTTATAATATATATTCCATTCTCTTTCTTTTTATTATTTATTACATTCATTTACTAAGTTATTTTAACAATTAATTTTGATTTCAATTTTTCTTGACGTAATAATATTTATCATTATTTTCAAATTTCTAGTCAAATAATATTTATGGACATAAGAAATTTTTTTAAACTTATTTATGATGATGATGAAAATCCTAATCATCTTACAAAAAAGCAAAAAAGTACAAATAATTTTATAACATTTTATAATTAGCCTAGAAGTAAGACAAGCTTCTTAAAAGGGTATTAAAGATACCTATGATAAATATTTTATTTAATAATAGATTTATATTCCACCCCTCAAATTTCAATATCCACAAACTTCATATGCTAATTGAAAGTTAAAATTTTAAAACAGCTATTTTACTAGATGGTTATGGCTAGAATTCCCTATCCGAGACAATAGAGCTTATTGCAAGATATGGTCCTGTTAGTTAAGTCAACAAGACAAAGATGCTGGAAAAATCTTTGACAATCGTCAAAAAACAAATCATCACATACGCGGTGAACCTATTATTTTATCAAATTAATTATGGGGAAATAATTCCCATTTTATCACATATTAACAAAAATATGATTAAAATAGCAAAAGAAAATAGATGTAAGATCAAGCGAACTTTTGAGGCCTCTATATTGTGGATTTAAGGGTCTAGAATTACTGGCCATTTGGATCCAGGAATTGAATTTCAATAATAATGATAATGAAGGTAATTTTTGTGGTCTTATAAAATTTAAAGCATTAGGAGATTCTGTAAACAGAATTATTTCTGAAACTCCTTGTCCAACAAGGAGAAAGACATTGCAAAAAGCTTGTCTAACGAGATGGAGTCTTTGCCATCAAGCAGTAACAGCTTTTATAGAGTTAGAAGAGTCGATTATTAATGCTCTTACTGAAATATCACAATTGCCTGAGGGAGATATATCCTCAGAAGCAAGCAAATCATTGGATTCAATACTTATACTTTTTTTTCTCATTAGAATATATATTATACAACTATTTTATGTATTTTCAAAAACATAACTGACTTAATTGAGACGATGAAAATAGCGGGTATCATTTTATTAGAACTCAGGGAAATTAAGGCTAATGTTGTTGAAGAATTTCATATGTTATTTTTGGATCAAAAGCAGAGCTATACGAGTTTAACATTTTTTCCCTCGACTTGCAGCGAGGCAAGCTCATCTTAACATTAATATAGGGTCAGTAGATGAGTATTATGAAATAAATGTCTTTTCTCTTAGATACATTTATAACCCAAATAGAACGGGTCAGGCAGCACTAAGCAGTCTGCAGATATTACATCCACAAAAGTCTTTCCAACCTTTTTCAGATAGTAATAGAAAAAAAAATAAAATATTTATCAGATTTTTTTCATGAAGATGTTAAAGTATCTTATTATGCTTTATTAGCTGAATGCCAACTATAGTATAAAGGATTAACTATGGGTGATATAGTCCCAAAAAATGCTATGGATGCTTTGCATCATTTTAAACATCTTTAAGATTATTTTCCCAATGTATTAAAATTATTATATATATTAGCAACTTTTCACATTAGTACTGCAACTAATGAGAGAACATTCCCTTCTTTAAGAAGAATAAAAACATACCTAAGGAGTACAACTTCTGACAATATATTGAATGGTTTAACCCTTTTGAATATTTATAGGCATTTGACGCCTGTCTATGGGGAACAAATACATAAAAAGAAAATTTATAAATAATATTTAGTAATTCTTAAGTAACGAGTACCCCATTACTTTTTTTGAAAGTTAATAACGCGTTCCTTTTTTCACAAGGTAACTTAAGTGTTTCATTTTCCAAGCGTAATGAGTAACGAGTAACGCGTTTTTGTTTTAAGGTATGGTTTGCAACACTAATTTATAATATACTTCAATTATGACATAACCAGCGTCTACATGACAAAATTTTTACTGGATGCAAACCCCCTTCAAAAACCTTTGCCTACCCCCCTAAAAATCTCATCGCCCTCGGCGGCGGTGTCTCTCTATTATTATTTTCACCTTTTTAATTTATTGATACTCTTTTCAGAGAATTAATAAAGGATAACTTAAATTAATCTATCTCTACTACCAACAATCGATATTTTGTGAATTTAAAGAATTTATTTTTAGATAATAAATTCAATTAAAACCTCCATTATTTACAATGAATTAATTATTATGGCATTATGAGCTTGCTGAAATATCTGAACCTTTTAAATTACATTACAAAGGATAGCAGAAAGTTTTATTTGGAAAACAATGTGTATGATTGTTTGCAATATAAAGATTTGGTCGAATTATTGTATTATAATAATAAAAGCATTAATTTTTACAGCAATTTTTGTCCTATTTGATCTCAAAATTTATTAGATAACCCCCCCCCCACCCCCACCCCCCCCTATAAAATATATCAT